GGTTGTTGACATAATTCACAGTCACTGCAGGTTATTTTGCAAATTGTATTATTTTGTTTAATTGGGTCCACCGACAGGGTCCTTTAACCTACAGAGTTTGTCCCTGAGTGAGTTTGTTGGTTTGAATGCTACCCTAATTCCTGCTTTATTAAGAATCCTACGTAGGGTCTGTGTGCGTCGGTGGCATAGTGCTTAGGACTCTCGCCGACCATGAACATGGTCCGGGGTTTGATCCCCTATCGACGCACCCCTGATATCTATGGTCGGCCTGCGAAATTTGGGCTACCGATATCCATGCTGAAAATTCCATACTTGTACCAAAAATACAGTGTGGAATCAAGCTGTAATCACGGACAAAGATAGATGTCCCCTCCTTATATGGTATAACAGTATATGACTTATATTCTCTCTTATTTGTGTTATCATTACTAGTTCCACAATTATTTCTATTTTGTTTTTGGCCTTTACTGATCTTCCTAACGAATTTTCTGGGATAGTTATTTAACACCGACGCCTCTTCTATCTGTTTTATTTCATCATTTAGGTCTCTCTTGTGCTACTCAGTGCTATGGCTCGGTTTGTTAGACACTTCACTAAGCCTGTCTTAACAATTAACGGATGAGATGGATTAAAGTCTAAATATCTATTAGTGGAATGCGTTGGTTTTCATAAACCCGGGTGTGCAGTTTACCTTCTTCTATTCGTTTTGTTTTACAATCTAACATCACTGCTAATTCTCTTTGTTCATTTTCCGATTCAAATATGAATTTTATTTGTTCCTGGTTATCTCTCTCTATTCCACCTCACCTTGTCCCTTCTGTCATTTGAAACAATCTGCAACTCTGAATTAGTGAATTTCAGTGGGAGGACTCATCAACTGAATACTCTACGAACATTGTTATTTGTATGATTTTCGAATTTGGCCATGGATTGATTGATAGCAGTTAGGAACCATTGAAAATCACCAAAGAGTACTGGAACAACTGTTTCGTCTAGTTTACTATCCTTCAGCAGTACGCATCCAATAGCAGGGTTCATTCCTAGGACCTTCTGCTTACAAGGCGAGCTTGTAGACCTCTAAGTGATATCAGCTCATGTTGAAATCTTCCAACCAATCAAACAAAATCCCTACACAACCAATACTTGAAAATTGTTCTGATGTGCTCACTAGCGACTGGTCCTATTCAGGCAGTTAACCAGGGGTTCTAGTGGGGAGCCGTGACCAGTAGGGTACAACAGTTTGGAGGTGAGACAGTATAGCTCATCGAAGAAGACACTGGCTAGTAGTGGTCGCGGTATGTCGTGAATTGGAATTCATGGCCTGGTGGTCATTGGATCGGGTCCCAGTAGTAGTGGCTTAATGGTCTACGAGCTGGCTCGCCTTGCAACCAGAAGGTTCTGGATTCGAAAGCTGGTGGTGAATGCGTACAGATGAAGAGCCCCAAACTAGGCTGACGAAACAGCTGCCCAGTACTTCAGTAGTGGCTTTCCAATGTTTCTCTAATTGATGTCAGCTCATGATGATGAAATCCTCCAACCAATCATTTGCGAGTATTTATGTGCTTTCGATTACTTTATTTACATGCATGTTTAATTTTCGTCTCTGTATATATTATTTTTCTTCTAAACAATACACTATAGGATATAGTTCATCAAGAAATTACTGAATTGGAAATGCGAGCTCGTGCTATCCGTGCAATGCTTAAAAAGAAATCCATTCAATTGAAGTGATCGATGTAGAAATTCCCTTCCCCTATCGGCTTCGTGTCCTCATTGTCTACTCCCCTCCCCTTTGGCATTTGCTCAATTCAGCTGTGGTCAACTGTTCATCATTAATTTGGGTTGTTGTGTATCCATCAATCTATTATTATTATTGTATGACTACTTATTGTACAGTTATTCAGTTAGTTAGTTAGTCAGTTTGAGTGAATGTTTTGACCTATATGTGGATATGTTTGTTTATCTGTCGTATTCCTTTTTTTTACCTCGATTCTAAATCCTCCTCTTCGAGGTGCTTTCTTCTCGCTTCTCAAAGAATAGTGTTACAGATATGATTGATTGCATAATAAATCTTGCAGTTGTACTTCTCCACTTTCTTGTTGTGATATGATGAGTATTCATGTGTGTGTGTGTGTACAGCAGTAGTAGAGAAAGAAGTTGCATGCACCACAACTATTTATTTTTAAGAAGCGATTGCAATTTAACTGTTACGGTGGCTTATTTTTGTTAATGTAGCTTAGGTAGGTGTATGACTGAATCAAGTGATCAGATCACTCTACTCGAACTGAACTCATGCAGTCAGGTAAGAAGTTTTGGAGAGTTTGTCATCTGAAGTGGTGACAACCAGTGGTGTCCACTAGAGATTTCCACTCTCCGTCCCAATTTCTGTTTAATTTCATCATAGATGTACTAATTCTGAGGTTCAGCGGCGTGTGTTTGAACACAGTGGAGATAACCACTCATTGAGTGTTGTCATCTGGAAACACCGGCTCCGGTGGCTTAGACATGTGCTGCGAATGTCATTCCAGAGGAGGCTTCCGTACAGGTCTCTGTTCGCTAGCTCTGGAAAAGGCGGAGGAGTGGTCAGTCCATGACACGTGTGGCATCGTGGTATGAAGGATGTTTGTGCTAGATTAGCATCGGTTGGTGCGTCACGACTCCTTGGTTGGGGTGTGCGAGATAGCTCGAATCGATGGCTCGAAACGTTATCGGATACGGCCAAGAATCGTAATCAGTGACGAACGTGTTGCAATTTCCTTCTTTCTTCCCTTTCCGGTGATAGTTAACGAATACTGTTTGAACTTGTTAGGCATGACTGTTTTCCTTCCAGATGAAGTTCTTTATCCGTTCTCCAACCATATTTTACTTTTAATCTATGTTGTTTTATTATTATTGTGTGGCGCATCTTTCGTGGTGCCACATTGTACCAAGTTTTTTCTGCGTTTAAATAAATAAATAAAAGATGTACTAATGGACATAACCCTAAAAGCTGACTTCAGCTACTCAGGGATTGACTTGTTACCTGGGTATACTAGTCTCGTTGACTCACAATATGCAGATGATATAATCCTTCTAGGTGAAGGCGATGACAAAACTCAGAGTCTTCTGAACATCTTGAAGGGAGCATCAACTTTCGAATATTTGGCATGCAATTCGCTCTTATTGGATGTAAGATGATGATACTATAGGACTGGACTGAACTGAACTACACATCGAATCCTAGCTTAAAGATAAGAAGAAAGTGAAGTGATGGCTGAGTGTGTTGACCACTCACTTGACTTATTTGGGAAGATGCATCAGCCAGAGTGGTTGGATGGATGGATGGCTGACGAAATCACAGCACGGATACAGAAGACTCGTTTGACATTTGTCAGCCAACTTTTACTCTATCTCTGGCTTATCCGACTGACTATCTATCAAAGGGTGACTGTACGGTGCAGCAGCAGTTCGTACCATCTTTCTCTATGGTTGTGAGTGAGACATGGTCACTGAAAGTGGAAGACATGAAAAGGCCGTCTAGCTGTCTTTGATCATAGGTGTCTGCGCTCTCTCTCTCCGGTGTGAAGCGGTAATAATAGGGCGAGCAATAGTAACGTCAGGCTTTGCTCGAGGGCTAGGTATGGAGGGAAATCAATCGACGAGGTCGTGAAGTTACATCGATATATATATATATATATATATATATATATATATATATATATATATATATATATATATATATATATAGGACTCTAGTCAGTAACTAGTGTAATATGTCTAGTCCTTTCTTCGCTGCAGACTGAATTTTATCAGTCAAGTTTGGAATGTAGCCACCATGCTAGGTGGTTCGCCATCACGGTTCACTGTGAATTGTTGGTATTAGACATTTGGAGGTAGTTGGCAGGTACCCTTGGACCTAGTTTTTGTGTTAGTTGGCACAGATCAGCAAGGCGTATGTGCGACCAATACAGTCGCACCCTACAGGAGGTGAAGGGCGAGACTGAATAGCTCAGTAGTGGTAATATCTCTGACTGCAAGCGGTACTGGGTGACGTGGGTTTGAATATCAGAAGGGAGATGAGTTCCTTCAAGATAGTTGCAGATATGCCTTGCTGATGAGTGCCAACGAACACGAAACCTAGATGCAGCCAAGGCTTCCTGTGGCCGATCGCCTCCAAACATCTAGGACTAACGATGGGAAAAGTAACAGACATGGAACTAATAGGCTGCTGAGAAACATCAAATAAACGGTTAATTTTATTCTTCTTATCATTAATATATGAAAATTTCTATTGATTTACGACTTCAATTTTACGTTTATAATTTAATCAACATTATTATTGATGTAAACTTCCGGGTAATTATTATAATAAAGGTTTTTGTATTTCCCAATGAGTGAAAAACATAACGATATTGTTGTGTTTACTGACGTTTCGCTATTTAGTGCTGTTATTAGCTTTATCAAAGTATTGTTAAACCGGAATTTACCAAATTTCAGTGTACATATAACAAAGAGTTAAGAGGTGAGAAAATAGACGTAGGTCGAGTTAAAGGGACATATTGAAAGCCAAAATAGCAATGAAGATCACTAAACCAAATAACAACGTATGCCAAGCCATCGCCTCCCTCGACGAGCAATGTTAGCGGATATAGGGTCAGGCTGGAAAAAAGCTAGCGGCGGTCAAACAAAAACTTGGCATCAGTCAATGAAATCCACAACAGTTGGTCTAAGCCACGTAGGAAGGTGTAGACTTCCAGGCTGGGGTCCTCGGGACAGTAAAAATCTATGGTTGGAAACAGTTGGTGACATGGCTCAAAATCGTTCTCAGTGGCGCAGATGCATCCACTCCTTGTGACTTATGATTTCCAATAAAACTATACTGTTCTTCGTTACTACTATTCCTTTGTCTCACACCTCTGCTCACTGTTTCTATTGTGCTTTTCTTGTACTTTCTTCTCTTGTTTGCTTCGCGTGCTACACGGAGTGTGGCGGCTTGAACTTCCGCACATTTGTGCAAAGTTCTATGTCGAAAACAGACAGACAGAAACCAAATAACAAAGGCAATAAATAGTACGTCTGTTATGATATCGAAATAAAGTTTACTAACTTGATCATCGTTCGTTAGACAGGGGTCATTTTTGGTTCTCAGGTTGGTCAATTGGTAAAGATAACAAAACCAAGTGTAGATTGTTGGATTTGATCAGTGTGTGAAATTATAAAAACAGTGTGTGTTTGCATAGTGAACTTGCTTATCACATTCTTGTTGATTTTGTCACTTCACGGGGGAGGGGGTGTTGTAACCAGGTCAGATTCTGTTTATTATAGCTTATTAAAGATCAGGACTCAAGAATCTCTCTCACTGATGCAGGTTTGTTATGGAAATGCACGTAAACAATATTCATCAAGTGATATTGCCTTGAACTCTAAATATATGCCATTACCTCAGAAGGTTATGACCACCAGCTTTCCGGAGACATGTCATTATGTTAATCCCAATGGTATTACTGCTCAGACTGATATTTCTCCACAATCTAACTATCAAGCCAGTCATCTGTCTAACTGTCGTGGTGCTGATGCCAGAGCTGCGTATTATGCTGCTGCTGCCGCAGCGGCTGCATTCTCCTCAAAGCCAGCCTCACAGCTTATACCAATATCTGGTGGTAGTACTTCTTCTAGCCTGCCATGCTTGCATCAGTATGCTTCATTGGGCGCTGTAAACGAAGCTCATCAGCATTTGCCAGTCAGTGTGGCGGAACCAGGCAATGTATGCACAATTATTGAGTGCACTCCTGCAACTATAATAATCTCCCAAAGCAAACCTGAGATTTGTATGCGATCGTGTCAGGCTGCAGCAGGAGGTCATCCAACTTATGCACCTGCATTACAACGTTCTCTTTCATTTTATGATCTAGTAAGTGCTGGCGGTGCTGGTACCGCATTGTCTTTGCTAAGTGCTGTTACTGCCCCCGCAACATCACCTTTCCTAATCAACAATTCTATACAAACTTCCAATATTCAACCGTCAAATATTCTGTCTACAAACAGTCTTTCAAATGATGTCCGACAAATGTTACATCATCCTGTTCATTCTGTTTGTCTTCAACGAGGATTAAACAACAGGCTATCTTCTGTTGAAGGTGATAACTCATTTGTGCTAGATATTACTAATCATGAGAAAGGCATTGCAGCGCATCCTATTGTTCAGCATAATTGTGTTAATGTAACATGCAAACCAAAAAGTCGACTATGTGATACACTATGTGCTTTAGTGAATCATCAACATTTGTATAAAAATCCAGCAACTGCAGCTGCAGCATTGGCGGTAGCTCGTCAACATCAACAAAATTTCAGCAACAACAATAATCGAAGGCATTCATTAATTTCTGCCAAAAGTGTTCAAAGTAGTGATTATAATTTTGTTCAAGCTATGTCTAAAGGATGCGGTGGTTGTCGTTCAGATTATCCAACACACTTAACATCAGGTGTACTGCACAACGCCAAAGTCAATGAAGTGACTCGTTTGGATCCAAAATGTTCAGTAAGTATCTTTTGACTGCTTCAAAATCAATTACTCAGTTATCATTCCTAGTGTGTTTTTTTATCTACCTAATTACAACCTAAGTGTTCAATATTTTTAAGAAAATATATTGTAGGTTGATTGGTGGATGGTGACTAGCAGTGGAATCCACCAGGATAACCCGCGTTTCATCCCATTTGGGACTTGTCAGCTACTGGACGTATCTGCATTCCACAGTGAGTTATGATGTTCCCACTGGGTTCGAGCCTCAAGCATCCTGGATTCCACTGCTAATCGCCATCCAGCAGTTGACCTCTGATTACATGCCCAGACATCATCGAAGCATCTGCACAAGAAGCCGACATGTCAATCTGAGACCCGAGCACTTCGGTCCAATCAGTCGACGGGAAAATCTAAAATTCAATTAAATAAAGTATATTGTAGTTTTCTGAAGTTGAGTTTGTATGTCTTTGACAGATCTTAGGGTAGAATGGAATTTTCAGCATTTTACTACAGTATTGCCCGAAAGGGAAGCGGCGTGTGGGACATGGAGGAGATCGTGTGAAGAGTTGAAAGAATATGGATTAACATGGATTCAGGCGAAAAGTATAGCAGAAGACAGAAGAAAATGGAGACGTGCAGTTGAAGCCCTATGTTCCACTAGGAACCCAAAGGAGCAATAATAATAAAAATAATATATTTCAATAGTGCATCGGTGGCACAGCGGTTAGGACGCTCGCCGACCATGTACATTGTCCGGGGTTCGATCCCCGGCCACCGACTTACTCCTTTACCTCGCTAAACCAGAAATAATCCTGGTAAAGAGGAAAGGTTGGGTATGGGGCTAGCAACCCCATCCTGTAAAAACTAAACACTGCTACAGAAACTTCAAGCCTCTAGCTTGGAGCCCTATGTTCCACTGGGAACGTAAAGGAAAAATTATTATTATTATTATTTAAAGCTATTTGGAGTTCACTTGATATGAAGGGCTTCTGATTGATGTGAAACGTTCTTTGTGATTTCTGAAATGCCTTTTCTGGATGATTTCAATATTGTCAAAATCAATTTTGTGGCCTGATTCTATAGCATGTAGACAGGCTATGGCTGATGATTTTTCAAGTTTTTCTAGTTCAACCGGATTTCTCAGTGGTCGAAAAGATGCTCTACGGTGTTCATTTCTTCTGATTTTGATTTCTCGAGATGTTTGTCCTATGTATATCGCATCAGATTCCGAGCATTTTATTTTATAGACAAAATTAGGTAGAGAATCTTTCGGGATTCGGTCTTTTATGCGGACAAGGTTGCTTTCGGAGTGTGTCTGATATTTTGAAGAAAACTCTCATGTCGAGCTGATGGAGTATTCTTCTGATATCGTCTGACGTGTCTGCTCTATATGGAATGACAACTGTTGAGTCCATATTTTCGGAATTCGTTTTCGACCATACTGAATGTCAGTGTTGATTTTGTTGATGAAGTTCCTTGGGTAGTTGTTTTGCTTGAGAGTTTCAGTAATTACTTCTCCCTCTTACTATGCAATGCAAAGAGAGCCTTTATTATTCCTGTACGTTCCAAGTGGAACATAAGACTTCAGGCTAGAGCCTTGAAGTTTCTGTAATAGTGGTATTAATTTTTACGGGATGGGTTTGGTAACCTCAAGCCAAACTTTCCCTCTTTATCAGTCTTATTACTGGCTTAGCGAAGTAAAGGAGTGTATTTGCCGGAAGTAGAACCCTGGACCACATGAGGAGTGGTTGGGGAACATTCTTCCGCTGTACCACTGACGCATTGTGTATGTGTTAATAGGTATAAACGTAACACTAAACTTAATATAAGATAAATTAAGAATGATAATACAGAATTTATGGATTAAAAAATTCCACAGGAGGCTAGAGTAGTAATAGAGACAGATCTGACTTGATTCTACTGTATACAAAATGGCTTCTATTTGGAGTGTTCAGTATCGAGAAGTCCTTGTCAACTTATTTGCTACTAGATAGATGACAGATAAATCTTCTTCATTGCTGGCTTCATGGCCTATTTTGGGCCAGGTGATCTAACTAATTTAATATTGAACTGTTGGCGATTTTTCTTACGCCTTTATTTAGCCACACAGTCCAAGGCAAGGATCAGAGAGGTAAGACAGACCTTCATTCTCTGAAATCATTTTGGAAATCTGCTGCACTAAATAAGCATCAAGAGGAAGACTCAAATTTTCGACAGACTTGGCGCTGGTGTCATGAAAAGCATTTCCAACTGGCCATTGCAGACTTTTATCAACAGCTGCCTTTTGCTTTTTACTGAATACCACCGGAAAGTATTAGCCACACGAAACTCTTGGAAAGAAACTGATCAAAGACCTATTTCCCCCAGTAAATATGCTGAGGGAAATAAAGATGGGAGGGGGACTTAAGCTGAGGAGGCGACCGGATGACATATCACGCCAGGTCGTCCAGTGGAACGCAAATTGGAAACGGAAAAAATTGGGCGTAGGTCCGAGGGTGACACGGAGGAGATTGTGTAAGGAGGGGGTATGAGGGCATACTGGCAGTCGTGGAACCAATCAAAGAGGACTGCAGCAAACAGGACAACATGGGTATATCTGAATAAAGAATAATACGACCTCGTTTTCTTTTGTGACTTCTCTTCAACTGACTACATCCTAAATAAATCAATTATTTGTTACGAAATTTATCAACGTCCTTTGTACAATGATTTGAAGTTATAGATACAGAGTACAAGCAACATAATTTCAAAGATGATTTAAGTAGACAATTATTTAGTATTAAATGAATAACTATTTAAATAGTAATTAGACAAGTGGGAAGGGGTATAGTTCAGACTTCGCTTGGAAACAAGGATGTACTAGAGACGAATTACAAGATAGACCAACAGAGTGAAATTAGTATGGAAGACAGTGAGGGTGAATCTTAAAGGCAAAATTATAAAATAAATAAAATAGTTTACGAGTTGATCACGGATTGATATCAGTTAGAGAACCATTGAAAATAACCTCCAGCGAGTATTGGCCAGCTTTTCCATCCTAGTTTGGGAATCATCGGCAATACGCACCCACCACAGGAGGTTCAATCCTGAGGACCTTCCGGTTACGAGGTAAGCTCGTATACTATTCATCCACTCGGACCTAATTCAATGGCTAGCCCATGAATTCTAACTTCTACCAATTCGTGATGCATTTAGCGCGATCCCAATCAATGTCGTCGGCGGGACATCCATTCTCACACTTGACTGGATGGACCTCATTGGTGCTGCCTTGTAAATGGAAGGTCCTGAGTTCGAACCGTGGTAGTGGGTGCGTGCTGCCAATGATTCCCCAACTAGGATGAAACAGCTGTCCAATACTCCATTGGTGGATATAGGGTCAGACTGGAAAAAAGCTAGCGGCGGTCAAACAAAAACTTGGCATCAGTCAATGAAATCCACAACAGTTGGTCTAAGCCACGTAGAAAGGTGTAGACTTCCAGGCTGGGGTCGTCGGGACGGTAAAAATCTATGGTTGGAAACAATTGGTGACATGGCTCAAAATCGTTCTCAGCGGCGCAGATGCATCCACTCCCTGTGACTTATGATCTTCAATGAAACTGTTTTGTATTTCTTTATTACTCTTCCTTTGTCTCACACCTCTGCTCACTGTTTCTATTATGCTTTTCTTGTACTTTCTTCTCTTGCTTCGCGTGCTACACGGAATGTGGCGACTTGAACTTCCGCACATTTGTGCAAAGTTCTATGTCGAAAACAGACAGACAGGTGGTTTTCAATGCTTCTCTAACTAATATCGATCCGTGATTAACTTGTCAAAACAAAACTAATCCTTACAAACCAACTATAAAATATTTAATTGGCGGGTGGAATCCAGAATGCGCATTTCGTCCTATTTAGGACTCGTCAGGTTCAACTATAAAATAATTTAATTTTTACAGATCTGGGAACTTAATAGTGAGTTCAGCTCAGTAAGAGATGTGGAAATGTGTTTCTGAAACCTCATGTTCTACTCAGAATCCAAGGGAATAACGGTAATAGTAATAATAATAATAATAAATACCCGAGTGACTTCCGAACTAGAATCGAATAACAAACTCGGTTTCCTGGATATTACTATGACCAGCAGAGATGATGGAACGATGCTTCGATCTATTTTTCGTAAACAGGCATACGTGGAGTGGACAATATCTTCATTTTACCAGTTTTCTTCCTATCCAGTATAAATGTCCCCTAGTGAAATGTTTGTTCTCAAGGGCCCGAAAAGTATGCACCACTGACACATTGATGGATGAATATCGACATATACATTCAGTTTTATTAGCTAATGGTTATCCGGAAAACTTTATCACTTGTCACAGTAAAGAAAGATCACATCTCGAAAAGACAGCTTCTATATCAAAGAAAGCCATCTCTATTAACCTACCATTCAAGGGTGACTAGATTATGCAGTTGACAGCTAGCTCAAAGACTTCAGTCAGCCATCAAACGCACACATTCTACGCCGCCTCTCTTTCCCTCACATGCCGAACATTTTCGATCCCTGTACCTACGATTAAAGGGCAAGATTCTGTGGACTCTACTTCAAACTGTATCTACAAGTTCACCTGCAGCTGCAGTGACACCTATATAGGTAGAACCAACAGAATGTTCCAATGTCGTCGTCGAAAAGAACATGTTCCAAAATGGCTACTAAATCATATAGAAAATCCCAATGCGATTAATCTTAATAGAAATCCAACATCATCCATTGCAAAATACTTATTAATGTCTGATCACAAAATCAATATTAATGACTGATTCACAATTATTTCATCACATAGGTCTAATTCAAGGTTACTGAAGGTAATGGAAGCACTGTGGGGATTAATCACATACAGCCTAAACTGTGTGTACAAAAACCAATAGACTTCAACTTTCGCTATCCATGAACTGACTACTTGGCCTATTTAAATATGATTGGTCATTAGTATGTACTTATGTTTTTTATTTAACTGAGTAATTGTCATGATCTTTATTTTGTTTTATTATTGTTAAACATGTTAGTTGTAAAGAAACTACGAAATGACGATGTCATCTCGCGAAATTTGTCTTCTTAATGCCTTATTCAAATAATAAAAGTAATACTTACTGGCACTCAATGAGTATGTAGACTGATGATGGATGAGCTCTCCCTTTTTACATGACAATAGAGTAGAATTTTGGCCTATAAATTAAAAAATAAATTCACCTTCTTTGGGTGTTATTTTACGAATCAGGTGACTGGAACAATCAATCTTATCAGTTTGCTAATCTATGTTCACTTAAGTTTCTGAACCATATTCAATAATCAGGTAGGAGATCAGCCTGATAAAGTTAAGGCATCTAATTAATCCATACTTCGTTTCAAAGGTTATTAAACCAACTTTTTACATGTAAGAAACATGTTTATGCATGTTTTTGATAATTAAATCTTTAAATCTTGATTTGTTTTGCTTTGACCTTTTGTGTAACACTCGTGTGTTCCCGTCTGCCTGTATATATTCCTAATTGATTAGGTGTTTCATGTATATTCTGTTCACTCTGGGTGTACACTCA